GCTAAGACTAAGTATTTTATTAATCTATTGCAAACCTTACGATCTTTTTATCAAACTTAGAGCGAACGTTTACAATTGATGTAATGCATCGAACAAGTGAAGGTCGATACGTTGTTGATACTTTAACTGAATTAATATACCAAATACTAAGGATCAATTGTACAGTTTGAAGGAAGCAATCGAAAATGTTTATTTATTTAAGGTATACACGTATATTTTGGCTTTCAGCCTTGACGCATTTTGTTTTTTACATATTCACGCGTCTACTTTACTTTTGGTATAACAGAGTCGAATAATGGACTATTATCTAATGGTTCAGAAGATTGTTCCTTATACTAAAGTTCATATTTATATTGGCATAAATGAATCACCTGTTGAAGCATCACCCTCCAAAGCTTCGAGGACGTACGATGCTTCAAAAACTTCTGATTAGTATATGTATTATGTCTCACTATTAATAGTAATAGATCCAAAATAAAAATCATGTGTGTTACAATAAATATCACCTTGCGGAAAAAGATGAACAAAAAGCAAGCCAAGAATGAATGCACCTAATAGTAAGGCATCACTATTCGCAGTAAAAATAAATTGCCTATCTCTTCAAATCTTTTAACCAGCCACCACGAAAGCCTCTAAGCGGAATATGCATAAAAAGTTATTACGATATGCTAAGAGAGTGAAGTTCGGGAAAAATACTGGCTTACCAATAAATGAAGAGATCACTTTAACCTTCGATACTAGCAACGGAATAATATTCGTGAAACATTTCTCCGGAATCCAAAAGACAAACTTATATCGCCTACGAAACAACGAAAGAAGTTAGGAGCGGGATCAATCTTGAAGGATATTGTCATATTTCTTATTCTCCTCGGTGCTTTAAGAATTCCTTCGAAGAAACTATAGTGGATTTTTCGATCTTGATAATCAAACGGCTGTGGAAGAGTGCTAGAATAGCGGTGGATCACTACTATCAACATACGCTCGCCAATACCTCACATCAATCAAAGCATTTGCGAAGGACTTGATTGAACATTTTACACATTACAACCTGGTTTAATTTGTATTCTCGACCTTATTATTACACATAATGACAGACTAATAATTGAGTATAAAGGTGATAAAAGGCTGAGGAGATAACCATACTAGCATACCAGGTGGAAAAGGTGACAATAATATGTTGCGACACACACAAAAAGCACATTTGGACCCAGAGAGTGGGTACCTAATCACCAAAGGAGAGGTGCTGGTTGCGTGTCAAGTGGACAGAATGTGGCAGCAAGATTAGAATTAGAAATAATAGCGATTCTAAATATAGATTAATTAGTGTTCTGAAGCAGCGTAGAATTTACTTAGCATCGGTGTGTTCGCAGAATTCAAATTCAATATTTAATTACTTACATCGAAGAAGACGTTCGATTTCCTTATCAATAAACGCGTATCCATTTACTTTGAAATATTGATTCTTTCCCTGAATAATCCGTATATTCTTAAATCATTAATCCGTATAACGGCAAGATCGGTCATAATACTTGTCCCGTGATCGATCGAGTGGCATTAGATAATTTCCTCAACGCGTTATTTTCTTACTAAGACCCCCAACTACAGTCAAAGCTGGTTATAACGAATTCGACGGGACCAGAGAAAATATTCTTTATAACCAGAAATTCCTTATAACGA